CGTGGGGAGCAGAGAGCCCTGCCAGGAGCCCACAGTTCATGGGACAGCGGCTGATGAGACCTGGGTGGGGCCAGGAGCAATGGCAGCCAAGCCCCCACATGTATAAAAGAAGCCCCTGAGGAGCGCCACAAACAGGGCATGGCGCGGCAGTTTGTGGGGCAGCTCCTATGGGAGGGTGTGCAGGAAGGGTGCTGAAGGTCTGCCAGCTCAACCAGGGAGTGATGGCATCTGCCCGGCAGAAAGCCATGGCTCTCTAAGCTCTGCACCCACCACAATTGGCGCAGCTTCCCAGACAGCTCCGGTGGGAAAGTGCTGCCACCCAGGTGCCAGGCTGCAGGCTGTGCCCTGCTCTTATGCCAGTATGGGACAGCAGCAGTGAGCACACGTGTGGGACCTGCGCCCAGGGAGAGGGACTCCTCCACTTAGCGACAGAGCCCTGGGAGGAGGTGAGTGGGTTGAGGAGTATTGGGGGGTGGAGAGAGAGAGAGATGACTGGAATCACACCCTACCTTCCCTGAGACACACCCAACAGGCAGACAGGAGGCACGATACAGAGGGTTCCCTGTCCTCTCTCCACCTGGCTGAACACAGTCACTTAAGGGACCAGGGGCAATGGTGATAAGTTCTTGGCCGGCACAGCAGGCGCTTCTCCTCTGTGACTGCCCCACCTTCCCAGGTGCCCTTGCATGATAGGTATGAGGCTCTGCAAGTGGAACTGAATAATAATGAGGATGACGGTTCATCTAGCTTGGAGATGTTGCTGAGGTTAAGTCGGCCTATGCCCTGCATCAAAACCACTTCTATAAAGAAAAACAGATGGGTCATTGTCACAGGAGACTCCCTTCTGAAGAAAACAGAAAGCCAAATATGCAGACCAGACCCCTATGTGAACAGAAAGCTTCCTACCCTGGTATGGCCCTTGGATTACTATCCATTGTTTATTTTTCAAGTAGGCTGTGATGAATTTGCAACTAGAAGTCTGAGGGCAATGAAGAGAGACTATAGGGCCTTGGGTTGACTGGTTAAGGGATCAGTAGCAAAAGCAGTGTTCTTTATCCTTCTAGTTGCAGTGAATGATGAGGAAAGACACAGGAAGAGCCAGCAGATTGATACCTGGCTCTGAGCCTGGTGTCATGGGCAGAATGTTGTGGGTTTTGATTGTGGGTGGGTCTGTGTGACACCAGCTGACAGATGGGGTACATCTGTCTCAAAGGGGGGAAAAGGATCTTTGCACGGGAGTTAGCAGGGCTCATTGAAAGAGCTTTGAACTAGATTTGAAGGGGGAAAGGGATAAAACCAGGTTTGCTAGAGATAAGCCTGGGGGTGACACACCAATGTTTGAGGGACAGTGTGCTAATGAGGTCCTTTGGTCTGCCAGCTCAGTGGAGGTAGGGGATGGAGATCCATGCAGCAGCAAAGATGCAAGGGTTATGAGTGCATTAGAAACCACGGAAGTGCCTGAGAATCATAGAATCATTTAGGTTGGAAAAGACCTTTAAGATCAGAGTCCAACCATTAACCTAACCCTGCCATCCCACCACCAAACCATGGCCCTAAGCACCCCATCTGCCCGTCTTTTAAATACCTCTGGGGTGGGAACCTAACCATTTCCCTAGGCAGCCAGTGCCAATGCTTGACAACCCTTTCATTTTCATGTTGACTTCTCTTTTTACGTTTATTTGTTCTCAGAAGTGTCACTTATCTGGCACTGTGGCTGAAAGCAGGGGCCAGGGCACTTCCACGCAGCAGTGCTGTGGGAAGTACCTCTGCCAACAACAGCTGAAAACGGCCAGGTTTCCCCTTTGTCTCCTCCTCAGATTACAGCATCTCACGATATTATCGCGACCGATAGCAAGGATCCATACCTATTATAGGAGAGAAAAGCCAACAGAAAGAGTAGACGGGCTATCATGGAAACATGGTGGAATGACTCATGCAACTGGAGCGATGCAATGCATGGCTATAAAGTCATTGGAAGGGATAGGCAAAGGAGGAGAGGCGGTGGGGTAACGCTGTGTGTTAGGAAGTGTTTTGACTGTCTAGAGCTTGATGATGGTGACAATAGGGTCAAGTGTTTATATGTAAGAATCAGGGGAAAGGCCAAGAAAGCAGATATCCTGCTGGGAGTCTGTTATAGACCACCTAAGCGGGACGAAGAGACAGAGGAAATATTCTATAAGCAGCTGGGAGAAGTCTCACGATCACTAGCCCTTGTTCTCGTGGAGGACTTCAGCTTACCAGATGCCTGCTGGAAATACAATACAGCAGAGAGGAAACAGTCTAAGAGGTTCCTGGAGCATGTGGAAGACAATTCCCTGACACAGCTGGTGAGTGAGCCAACTAGGGAAGGTGCCCGTTGGGCCTGTTGTTTGTGAACAGGGAAGGACTGGTGGGTGATGTCACGGTTGGAGGCTGTCTTGGGCATGGTGATGATGAAATGACAGTTTTTGGTTCTTGGAGAAGCAAGGAGGGGGTCAGCAGAACTGCTACCTTGGACTTAGGGAGGGCAGACTTTGGCTTGTTTAGGAGATTGGTTGACAGAGTCCCTTGGGAGGCAGTCTTGAAGGGCAAAGGAGTCCAGGAAGGCTGGACATTCTTCAAGAAGGAAATCTGAAGGGCACAGGAGCAGTCTGTCCCCATGTGCCAAAAGACAAGCCAGCAGGGAAGAAGACCAGCTTGGCTGAACAGAGAGCTTTGTCTGGAACTCAGGAAAAAAGGAGAGTTAATGACCTTTGGAATAAGGGGCAGGCAACTCAGGAGGACTACACAGATGTCATGAGGTTATGCAGGGAGAAAACTAGAAGGGCCAAAGCCCAACTAGAACCTAATATGGCTACTGCTGTAAAAGGCAATAAAAAATGTTTCTGTAAATACATTAGCAACAAAAGGGGAGGGCCAAGGAGAATCTCCATCCTTTAATGGATGTGGGGGGAAACATAGCGACAAAGGATGATGAAACAGCTGAGCTACTTAATGCCTTCTTTCCTTCAGTCTTCAATAGTAAGACCAGTTGTTCTTGGGGTACCCAGCCCCCTGAGCTGGAAGACAGGGACAGGGAGCAGAGTGAAGCCCCCATAAGCCAAGGGGAAATGGTTAGTGACCTGCTACCCCAGGGTACTGAGGGAGCTGGCAGAAGTGCTTGCCAAGCCACTTCCCATCATTTATCAAAAGTCCTGAAAAACTGAGGAGGTCCCAGCGGACTGGAGGTTCACAAATGCAATGTCTGTCTACAAGAAGGGCTGGAAGGAGGATCTGAGGAACTACAGGCCTCTCTGTCTGATGTCGGTGCCAGGGTTATGGACAGATCATCTTGAGTGCCACAATGTGGCAAGTACAGGATAATCAGGTGATCAGGTCCAGTCAACATGGGTTTATGAAAGGCAGGTCCTGCTTGACCAACCTGATTTCCTTGTATGGCAAGGTGATCCACTTAGTGAATGAGGGAAAGGCTGTGGATGTTGTCTACCTGGACTTTAGCAAAGCCTTTGACACAGCTTCCCACAGTGTTCTCCTGGAGAAACTGGCTGCTCATGGCTTGGACGGTTGTACTCTGGGTAGAAAACTGGCTGGATGGCTGGACCCAAAGAGATGTGGTGAATGAAGTTAAATCCAGTTGGTGGCCGGTCACAAGTGGTGTTCCCCAGGGCTCAGTATTGGGGACAGTTCTGTTTAATGTCTTTATCGATGATCTGGATGAGGGGATTGAGTGCACCCTCAGTAAGTTTGCAGATGACACCAAAGGGGATGGGAGTGCCGATCTGCTTGAGGGTAGGAAGGCTCTACAGAGGGATCTGGAGAGGCTGGATGAATGGGTCAAGGCCAATTGTATGAGGTTCAACAAGGCCGAGTGCTGGGTTCCATGCTTGGGTCACAACAACCCCATGCAACGCTACAGGCTTGGGGAAGAGTGGGTGGAGAGCTGCATGGCGGACAAGGACCTGGGGGTGCTGGTTGAATATGAGCCAGCAATGTGCCCAGGTGGCCCAGAAGGCCAATGGCATACCGGCTTGTATCAGAAATAGTGTGGCCAGCAGCACTAAGGAGAAGATTGTCCCCCTGTACTCGGCACTGGTGAGGCTGCAATTCAAATACTGTGTTCAGTTTTGGGCCCCTCACTACAAGAAGGTTCACTGAGGTGCTGGAGCATGTCCAAAGAAGGGCAACAAAGCTGGTGAGGGGTCTGGAGCACAAGTCCTATGAGGAGTGGCTGAGGGAATTGGGGTTGTTTAGCCTGGAGAAGAGGAGGCAGAGGGGAGACCTTATCACCCTCTACAACTGCCTGACAGGAGGCTGTAGTGAGGTGGGTGTTGGTCTCTTCTCCCCAAGTAACAAGTGATAGGATGAGAGGAAATAGCCTCAGGTTGCTCCTGGGGAGGTTTAGATTGGATATTAGGAAAAATTTCTTCACTGAAAGGGTTGCAAAGCATTGGAACGGGCTGCCCAGGGAAGTGATTCAGTCCCCATCGCTGGGGGTATTTAAAAGATGGGCAAACGAGGTGCTTAGGGTTTGGTGGTAGCCTTGTCAGTGTTAGGTTAGTGATTGGACTTGATGATCTTAAAGGTCTCTTCCAACCTGAATGATTCTATGAAATAGTGAATGAATTTCTCTTTTTGCCTTGCCTGTGCACACAGCTTTTGCTTTTTTTCATTAAACTATCTTTATCTCAGCCTCAAGTATTTTGATCTTCCCTCAAATTTTTGCCTTTTCATTATTAGATGTACTTCTGTCTATCTTGACAATTGAAGGACTTCACAGCTGTGTTGGGGTTCGCACTACTTAGGGTGAAGGTTCAAATAGGTGACTGTTTCCTTGGTTGGGCCGTTTTTTAGTCCTTTTTTTTTGGTCTTGGATTTGCTAGCAGCACCTGACTTCTGCTTTGCAGTACCACGTCATTGTCTTCTACCTTTTTGTGAACCTGATTAGGGATTTGTTTGGGAAGCTGGATTCTTCCCTCATCCCTGATGTAGTCCAAAAAGCTGCTGTCAAGCTGCACACGTCCACCCCTGCCCCCAGGATGTATTTGCTTAAGTAAGTGCACTGTGGCTGTAGCTGTCACAGTTGCCTGCATTGTTCTCTTTCATGGGTTTGCTGAGTCCAGAGGGGTGATGGAAATTTCATTTGGCTACAGAGAGCCTTGGGTACATTTTATCTTACAAATCTATAGCCTTCATTAAGCCTTCGATGCTTTTGTTCATCAAGTAGAGATGACTTCTCACAGCTGCAGTCCTACATCTCTTTCCATTTCCCTCTCTTTTGCTTTGCCCGGGCAGCCATTTCTGGCCAATTCTCCTGTAGTAGGGTGGAACTTATCTTGATTTTATTTTTTTTTAATACTTCTGTATCATCATTACTCTATAATCAGTTTAAGCAACTAAATGATTGATGCCCTCTCCTTCCACTGCCTGTGTAATGTCCTCGTAGCACTATTCTCTTGGAAAGGCAGGGAAACCAATTGTGGCTTGAACCTGGGTTTCTTTTGATGGTTACAGAGTGTGTTGTTAGGTGACTGCACTAGCCACAACCAGAAATGGCTTGGGAAAGCTTCTTGTGCTTCTCCTACAGGAGGTGCCAGCAAACTCTCCTTCAAAGCATCTCTCACACTTGAAGAAGTTCAAAAGGAGAACCCTCAGGTAGCCAAGGGCCGGTATCACCCTACAGAGTGCTCAGCATTGCAGCATGTGGCCATCCTCATCCCACACCGCAATCGAGAGAAGCATCTGCTGTACCTCCTGGAGCACCTCCACCCCTTCCTACAGAGGCAGCAGCTGGACTATGGCATCTATGTTATCCACCAGGTGAGGCAACTGTGCAGAGATGTGTCTGGGTGGGGATGATGTCAGTGCTTTGCAGTTCGAGGAGAGGCATGCTGCTGCCGCCTCTGCTCTCTTAACATCAGCCCTCCAAGCCTCCTTCGAATACTTGTTGAGGGACGCAGTGGTGCACACAGCCTCTGCTGGTAGCACTACAGGATCTCGGCTGCTGTTAGCAAGGCTGGGAAGTATTAAGTGTCTTTAACTGGTGTCCATTTCTCAGTCTAAGTAACTTACTATTTCTGACTTAGCATTCAGGGTAAACATCTTTTGCATTACTAATGCAACTCTCTCCTCTTGCAGTATACACATAAGTAACTAGGCTGACATGTTTTCTGTCTTTAAATTTCAAGTTGTTTGGATTGAAGACCTCAGTTTTTATCTAGCTCTTCTCTCCCATCTGCTTGCTGGCTGTCATGCTTAGTAAGCTGTGTGGTTGTGTTTAGTTCTGCTGTCTCAAACTAAACACCCCAGCTACTGCTTCTAGATGCTTTACTTGCCTGGCAAGGGCTGAGGGAAGAAGTAATCACGGCAGAGCATTTGGTTCCTAAAAGATCTATTTTCTTTATTTGCCTTCTTTCTAGCTCTGCTGAGTCAGCAGCTAAAATTTGAGCATACGGACTTGTGCCACATTGTCTTTCATCTAAGGTGTTTATGTTCTGGTCACACGAGCTAAAGGCAGTATAGATTCTCTTTTGTAATATGTTGTCTTTTTCTTGGTCTTTTATTGTGTTAGCTTTCTTTTGCTATCACTTACATGTTCTGCTTTGACTCTAAGCAGATTTTTCAGACAGCAGGAGAAAAAGGTGATAATATAGTTTCTCATCCCTTCTGTTTAAAGAGGTTAGAGTCAATTAATCAGTATGAGGCAGTGCATTCTAGGTGAAAGCTTTTACACTTTTGCTCAGTGGCAATCCCTTCTGTTTAAAGAGGTTAGAGTCAATTAACCAGTATGAGGCAGTGCATTCTAGGTGAAAGCTTGTACACTTTTGCTCAGTGGCACAACAGAACAGCAACAGAAGTAATGGCAGGATATACACTTTCAGTTGGAATAGACTGTTCTTTCATTGTTCAGAGTCGCATGGCCAGTAGAGTGGAAACACTGAGGCTTTTTTTCTGCGTTAGTATGTACTGTAATTGTACATATAATGGCTTATGCCAGCTAGCAAGCAGTCATTAGCAATAAATCATTGAGAGAATGGGCATATATTCTTTATTTATTGAGATACATGAGGTGGAGAATGGCTGTTGTCAAGTTAGCAAAAAGTAATACAGTTGTATGAAAGTTTTGTCTGATGTGAGCAGCAACGTAGAGTCTGGACTTGTTCTATCAGAGTTTTTACTTGGAAGATTGGAAGCTTTTGCTTAGTCTTTCCATGTAGACAGACACACCCAAAGACCGGAAAGTGGGTCTAACAAAGCTCTTCTATGGCAAATCCATTTTCACTCTCCCTTTGTGATGTCATTAGTTGTTTTAAGTATCTTTTGAGGAAAGAAATACTTAAAACCAGGATTTAACTATTAAAATACACAGTTTACTTTGGAGGAAGATGAAGAAATGGGCCTTTTATATTTTTCAGAAAGCCTTCTACAGGCTGACACACGTGTACAGCCGAATAAAAGATAAATAGCGAGATAAGCACACCGGTTGCTGCAGAGTGAATGGTGACATGGTAAGCTTACAGAACTGCCAGGTGTGTGTATATGTATGTATACTTCAAAGGTGGAAAAATGGTATTTTTGAAAAGCGAAGATGCACTAACTTACAGCAAAAGCAATCAACGAAGACTAGTAAAAGTGAAGCTCTGTGCTAGGGGGAGTCCCTGTGCAGCATAATAATTAGGTTATAAACAGTTTAAAATGAAGAGACCTGTTTTTTATTTCCCACTCTGCCACCTACTGTGTGTCCTAAGGAAATACAGTGAACTCTCTAAGCATTGCTATCCTCTAAACTGAGTGGACAAGCATAAATCATCTGGCAGGTGCTCTGACATCTATAAACCGATCAGTATGGGAGTAATGTGGGGTTTTTTTTTTTTGTGGTTTGTGTGGGTTTTGGTTTTTTGTTGTTTGTTTGGGATTTTTTTTTAAACTTCCATAAGCCTTACTGACAGAGTTGTATGAAGCAGCAGTTTCTAAAGTATTTACTGATATCTCTTGTTATGTACCCTGATGGGGACTCTGGGACAGCAGCAGCAGTGAAATTGCATCATGCAGCAGGCATGCTTCTGGTGCCCAGATAACTGTAGGCTCTCCTGACCCTGGCTGTGTGGGTTTGTGACATGTAGAAACTGAAAAAACACTTTCCATCATTGGCCACTCTGATGCTTCATCTAATGTTATGGAGTAGCTCTTTGTGTAGTTATTGCTGTTAAAGACTGTGATGCACAAATACGGTTGCAAACTGTGTGATTAGAACAAACGCCCGGGAGCAGTTCTGGTTTAAAAGGTTTGACACCTTCTTCAGAGGTTTTTTCCATTCTCTTCCACAGGCTGGCAGCACCAAATTTAATCGAGCTAAACTGCTGAATGTAGGATACCTAGAGGCCCTAAAAGAAGCAAACTGGGACTGTTTCATTTTCCATGATGTGGATCTGGTGCCAGAAAATGACTTTAACATTTACATGTGTGACAGACAACCAAAGCACCTTGTAGTTGGCAGGAACAATACTGGATACAGGTAGGAAACCAGGAATATGGAAAGAATACCAACTAGGAAATGCCAAGTTGCTGATAATGTTCCTCTTCTGATGGAGCTGTATGCTGGTATCTATCCTTCCTTCCGACACCAGGTTTCTGGTAGTAATGTTCTGCCTGTCCGGAGCACCTTCTGATAACTGTACAGACATCTCTGAAGTCACCTCTGTGGTCAGCTGTACAAATCATCATTGTCATCATTCTGGCTTTTGGAGTGAGGTGAAGGGCATTTTGAGAGGAAAGCAATGTCATGGAGGTTGTGCGAAGACCTTCTGTCAAAGCTAGAAATACACTTGCAGTCTCCTGGTCCTGCGATCTGACAGTGTGATCTTGCTGTTGTGCTGGTAAAACTTGCCACTTGGCTTTTGCTGTTGAAGAGGTAACTTCTGATGGTGAGAGCTCAAGTGTGGGAATTTGCCGAGGGATAAGGTTATCCTTTAATTATTTGGCTGTACAGCATCTAATACAGGATCACTCTGATTTTTAAATGGGTCTCCTAAGTTGATCATGTAATGTAAGTATTTTAAAGTGAAAAGTCAGGTTCAGTCTGCCTCAGAGAGAAAAAAAGGTTCATGTGCTTGGTGAATTTAATCACTAGAGTGGTTTCATTGAATGTGTTTTGTTTTTTTCAAGAGTCACATCTTACGTCCTGTCACCCTAAATATTAATTAGAAGTGGGTTTTCAAAAAGTACCTTGAAGTAAAACTCTGCTTTAGTTCTGGGTTTCCTTCGTTAAATATATGAGAAAGAGGTGGGATGTGCAAATTCTTATGCAAAATAGTAGTAACTTTCCAATTATTCAGTGAAAAGGGGAACAAGCACAAATGAACTAAGCTTGTGACGAGTTTTTGGAGCACTGCACCAGGCAGAGAGAATGATGAGGGCTACAGGATGTTCGTGCACCAAAGCAACAGAAACATTGCTTTGGTTAACTGGCAGGGATGTAGAATCCAGGCTAGTAACACGGCACAAAGCTTGAGGTGCTTTACGTAACCTCCTGTGCTTAGTTACTGCAAGTGTTTAGCATAACCAACCATGCAGATGGATTTTTTTTTTTTTGTGCTTTTACTAAGGTGTCTTCTAACTATTAATTTCTTCAGGTTTCTCCTCTTTGTGGAAAGGAGCTGTTAGTTACGGCTCAGCTTTAAGCTTTGGCTTTAAAGAGTCTTATACTGAGAAAATGTTTTTGTTGTGAATACCCTGCATTTGGGTGTTGTGAATACCCTGCACCAGTATTCACCAGGATACTGGTGGTTTGAATTGGATTCGTGCTTTCTTTTCTGTGTCACTGCCTCTTTACTCATCTGTGAAGTGGGGATAATATTGCTCTGCTTCCAAGGGAATTCCTGGGTACGTCTGAAGGAGTTCAGACCCTGCGCTCAAGAATGATACCTAAGCTGAGCTGAGACCACAGGTTGAAATCCCACTTGGGTGACCTCAGTATTTTGTGTAGGTTGAGGTGAGCATGCTGAGACACGTTGCTCAGATGGGATTGAACAAAGGGAAGGTACTCGTGGTCTGCATTAACACAAAATATGCTGGGCAGGAATGTGGATTTTCTGTGGGTTTCTTGGGTTTTTTGTTTGTTCTTCCAGGGCAATATCCTCTATGCTAATCTTAGCAGCTGTGCTTCTCTGGAGAGCAAATACCCTATGTTTAGTTATATAAACTACAACTTGTGTTTAGATGCTTTAGGAAAAGGTTTATATATTCAAACTTCGAAGGTAAGGGTGGGGAAAAACTTTCCTAGCATAGCTATTTCCTTGAGACCAGCACAACAACCTTTCCTAATGTTTCTATTGTATGGTTTCTTCAGTCCATTTTTAAAAATCCCAGAGGAGCTGGTATTCTCTTGTCCTCAGGGAAGAGGTGGTTGAACACTGTTACAGAGCTGCCTTTTTGAAGACCATGTCACCAAGATATGCCTGGGCCCTGCCAGTTCTGCTCTGCCTGAGGAGGGTTGAGTGGGCAGCACTGTCCTGGTTACAGCTCTGGCTCCCTCAGTGCCTGCCTCTCCAGTGGTGTAGGGGAATTATGGGGCGTGTAAGCAAGCAGTGGGGTGCATATATGGACGTGTGGGTGGGCAGTCAGTTCCCAAACCCTACCAGGCTGCTGGAACGGGGGGATGTGGGACTGTTGGTGACTGGCAGTGCAGCCTGAAAGCATGGTTGGGGAGGGCTCTTCCCTGCTGTTTAGGGAACCTCCTTGCTGTCTGTTCCACCTCTTCACTGTATTTCTCTAGAGCACCCCTAGCAGAAGTCTCAAGGTGGTGATGCATAATTAAAACTTGGTAGGGCTTCTGCTACCTTGTGGTGGGTCTCCTCTAGGAGAGGAGATAAAGGGTGGAGAGCAAGGAAGAGTAAAAATTCCAGAGGTAGAAAAAAACCACAGGTAGAGCACATGAGAGACTGCATCTGCCTAGAACAATCCTTTTTTGTATGTTTATATAGATAACATTGTCTTTTTGGGAAGTATATCACAGTCCCAGCAAATGACAGTTGAAGCTTTTTTCAGAGAACTGGAAGAAGCTTCATGTATACGGGCCCCAGTCCTCATGGGAGACGTTAATCATCCTGGTACCTGCTGGAAGGGCAACAGAACAGGGCAGAAGTAATCCAGGAGATTTCTGAAGTGAATTGATGATGACTTCCTGACACAAGTGATCAGAGCTGATAAAGGGAGGTGTTCTACTGAACTTTATACTTAGAAAGAAGGAAGAACTGGTCAGGAATGTGAAAGCTGGGAACAAGGAAGGAATGAGGCAAATAGCAGGATCACAACCCTGTACTTCCCATTCAGGGATCTGCTTGGAAGACTCACTTGGGAAATGACCGTGGAGAGAAAAGGGGTTCAGGAGAGCTGGTAGATCTTCAGGGTTTGCTGCCTCCATGCTCAAGAATGGTCCATTCCTCTCTGCAGGAAGTCAAGCCAAGTTGGATGGAAGCCTGCATGGATGAGCAAGGAGCTCCTGAAAAAACTTGGAACAGAAAAAAGAAGCATGAAAGAAGCGGAAGCAGAGTCAGGTGACTTGCAAGGACACACAAGATGCCATCTAAACATGCAGGGATGGGGTTAGGAAAACCAAAGCCACTCTGGAGCTGAATCTCACAAGCAACATGAAGGGCAATGTGAAGGGCTACAGGTGCATCAGGTGCTGGGAAGAGTAGGGAAAATGTGTACCTGCTGTGTGGCAGGGGACCTGGTGACAAAGGACAAGAAAAAGGCCAGGATACTCAATGCCCTCTCTGCCTTGGTGCTTACTGGCAAGATTTGCCTTCAGGATTCCCAGGTTTCTGATACCAGTGGAAAAGTCTGGACATAGGAAGACTTACCCTTGGTGGAGGAGGATCCAGTTAAGGAATACTCAAACAAACTTGGCATACACCATAAAACCATGTGACCTGATGGGATGTATCCCTAAGTGCTAAGGGAACTGGTTGCTGTCATTGCGAGGCCATTCTGTTATCTTTGAAAGGTCGTGATGACTGGGGGAGGTTCCTGAGCACTGGAAGAAAACAAATGCCACTTCTGTCTTCCAGACAGGCAAGAAGGAGGATTTGAGGAGCTACAGGCTGGTCAACCTCAGCTTTTAAGCCCTGAGAAGGTGATGAAGCAAATCTGTTCACAAGTCATGCCTGACCAACCTGATAGCCTTCTCTGATTTGATGCTTGGTGGGTGAGGGAGGAGTTAGCAGATAATGTTTATCTTAAGGCGGCTTTCAACACTGTCTCTCCTAACATCCCCATTGACAAAGTGACGAAGTATGGACAGTGAGATGGACTGAAAACTGGCAGAACTGCTGGGCTCAAAGTGTTCTGATCACTGGAGCAAAGTCTGGCTGGAGGCCAGTCACTTGTGGTTTACTCCAGAGTTTGATATTGGGGCTAGTACTGGTTAATATCCTTATTAATATCCCTGGGTGATAGGGCGGACTGCACCCTCAGCAAGTGTTCAGAAGATCAAAATCTTGGGAGGGGTGGTTGATGTAATGGGGACCTTGTCAGAATGGAGAATGTGGCCAACAGGAATCTAAAGAAGTTCAGCAAAGGGAAATGCAGAGTCCTGCACCTGGAGAAGAGCAACTCCATGCACCAGTAGGTGCTGGAGGCCAACTGTCTGGAATGCCGCTTCACAGAAAAGGATCTGGGCCAGCAGTGTGCCCTCATGACAAAGGTCAGTAGCATCTTGGGCTGCATTAGGAGGGGTATTGTCAGCAGGTGACTGTTGCCTTCTACTCAGCACTGTTGAGACGATACCAGGAGTGCTGTGTGCAGTTCTGGGTTCCCCAGCACAATAAAAACATGGACATATACTGGAGCGAGTCCAGAGAAGAGCCATGAAGATGATTAAAGGATTGCAGCATCTGACACATGAAGAGAGGCTGATGGTGCTGGGACTGTTCAGCCTGGGGCAGAAAAGGCAGATGAGGATCTTGTCAATGTGTGCACATACCTGATGGAAGGGAGTAAAGAAGGTGGAGTCAGACCTTTCCAAGTGAAAGGCAAGAGGCAATGGGCACAAATGGAAATACAGGGAATTCCATTTAAACGTACTGTGAGGGTGGTCAAATACCAGAACAGGCTGCCCAGAGAGGCTGTGGAGTCTCTACCCCTGGAGACGCTTAGAACCTGAATGGAAATGGTCCTCAGCAGCTTGCTCTAGCAGACCCTACTCTGAGCAGAGGGGTTGGGCTGGCTGATCTCCAGAGGCCCCTTCCAACCTCCACAATTCTCCTGCAATGCTATGACAGGAGCAAAAATCAGCCTGGAAAAATAGTCTGTGGGGGAGGTTGTGTGTGGTGGTTTTGGGGTTGGGGGGTTTTTTTTGTGCTTTTAAATTGGATTCATGGTAAACCAGAAATAATAATAAGCCTTGCACCTTTGCTTGTCTGGCTTGTAAGTTGCCATAATGGGTACTTTCTAGAGCTGGCAATTTGTTCATCTGTTTAGATTCCCCTACATCTAATGCAGTCTGCAGCCATGTGCGCATCACCTCTGAAGTTGGCAGGGGCAATGCAGTAGAGACTGTGTTGTAGGTGCTTACCTTAAGAGCCAAGAAAGGGGAGGGCATCATAAAAAGCAATTAGCAAAATGGTATAAGATAAATCAACATGGTATGTAAATACCATTTTAAAGTAGGTGGTTTCCAGGAGAAGTTAGAAATTAATCTCTTTGAGACCTGAGCTCCATTACATTAGGTTACTAAGTAACTTGCACTGTACCTTACCTTGGAATTGGTCCTGCAATATCCCATAGCACGTGCCCCCTTGCCGTGATCTGATTTCGTTCCAAGTTTTTCAGATTCAGCCCCAAGATAGTCGATGGTTTGCTATCATTATTGCAAAGCTTCTGCTATATTAGTGCGTAGCCTTGTTCTTTTTCAACTCATCGGAGTCCTTGAGGTGAAGTGCCTTTTTGGCTGGCAAGGGGAGTCGTGTGAAGAGAGAGAGAAGCTACTGAAGGTGGCTACGTTCTCTCAGTTGGAGAGTTCTAGCCTAAAGCAAATCACCACCTTTTTGTGAAAAGAGGAGGAGAACAAGACCTGCCTCGTGGGGTTTGGGCACCCTTAACTCCATGGAAGACAGGTCTGGATCCAGAGTTTCAGGGTGATATTTTCATTGTTGGTAGATCTTGGCTTTTAATTCTTCATTCTCTCTTCTTGTGTACTTCCAGGTTACGGTACCAGGGATATTTTGGAGGAGTAACTGCCCTAACAAGAGATCAGTTTTCCAAGGTGAATGGATTCTCTAACAACTACTGGGGTTGGGGTGGAGAAGATGACGACCTTCGAATCAGGTAACAAATGAATAAATAAAAGGCTATAGGGAAATGGATGTGAGAGGGGGAGGCATTGATTTAAAAAATAAAAAATAATCGGTGTGACTTCACACCTAGCCTCCAAAAGTGGAATGCCACAGGAGCCTTCAATTCACAGCAGTATTGCAGCGGGGATTTGGAGTGTGAGATGCAGTTCTGTGAATGGTTTCCTCTCTGAAAAGGTTAGGTGTGCCTGAGACCTGGTCCTACTCCTGACAGCATTGTTGGTTGGGTGTGGGGTTTGGTTGGGATTTTTTTTAGCCTGTGTGTTTGGTTTTTTGTTTGGTTGGTTTTGGTTTTGTCTTGGCCACACAGTATTTGTATTCTCACTTGAAATTGGTATAACAGAAGCAATAAGATTGAAGTCTGGAGTGTGATTTGCCAGAGAGACACAAATGTATTCAGTTCCAATACTTCGCAAGAGTGTGGGGGTGTGTTGGGTTTGGTGGGACTGGGTTTTTTGCATTCATTGACTACCATGATTTACTCCAAGCAGGGCTTAGTTTGTATGTGGGTGGTGTTGATGATAGTTAAGATAGCGAACAACTTGAATTCTAGAAAGACTGCATGCATATGCTCTTTGCTCTTGCTAAAACTAGTTTTGCAGACATGCCTGTCGAAGTAGGAGAAACTTGTTAGTTTGAGAGGTTTAGTGGGACAAAGAAATCGACAAAACTTTCGTATTGATCTTTTACCTTTTGCCTAGGAGGAAACCTCTAATCCTACATTGCTGTAAGTGATGGAAAGAAAGAAAACACCACCAAAAAACCCCGCAGCCCTGCAAGCTCTGCTGGCAGAGCCTGTCAATTTGTAACTTGGGTATACTCTCTCATTCTTAAATGTTTATCCTTTTCAATTGCTTAAATATGCAAACAAACATTTGGGGGACATAAAATCCATACCCTTGGTGATATTAATTAATTACACTGGTGAAATCAAGTGTGTTGAAGTAAGGAACTTCAAATGAAAGGGTTTTTTTCTGTGTCAGTTCAGCAGATCAGTGAGGTGTATCTCAAGAAATCTAAAAGGTCTACTGGTGACATGGATTTCTATCCCTTCTTAATCACGACTTTGTCTTTTTATCTCTACCCCTAACTAGACACAGCAGTTTCTTCTCTGTGACCTCTTGGGAGCTGGCTTTTATAGTGGTAGGGGATGGCTTGGTACCATCTTCCTCCCCGGCTTTCTAAGAAGTGTCACAGTTAATGAGCGAACAAGGGTGTTGGTGGTGTTCTTTCAAATGTTCCTGCAGGCAGCTGAGAGCCAGCAGTGCAACAGATCAGCAGGATTTACTGAGGGTCTCCCTGATGTTTCGAAGTGGTTGGAATCAAGTGATGCTTGTGCATGTCACCTCATAACTGTGCAGCTGTTGTCACCTTGGTGTGGAAACCCCATGGTATGACCCAGAGTGCATGCTGCAAGGGGACTTAGCTCATGCCTTTCCTCTTGGGTAGATCTTGGACTGGGCTGGTCATGGAGTCTACAGGGGGTGGGTAATGGGAAGCTTGCTGACTCAATGGGTTGTATGGAGAGATCCTTGCAGCCTTCCTGTGCAAAGACAGCAGATGGCAGCATCCCCTTTGGGATCCTCAAGAACTCTGGGCTGGAGAGCTCTTGGGTCCTACTGCTTGGCCTCTACACTAAATGTGATGGTCTCTTTTGGGCTCCTTCCCAAGGTGTGCATCACAAAGAGGCTTTTCAGACCATTTGTTGTATTTGTTTCATAATATACTGCTACAAACAGTCATTGGAAAGCTGTAGGGGCTCAGTTTCTTCAATTCTTGGCTTCCTATTGCTCTTTCGGCTGCTGATGTGACTAGGAAAGACCTGGACTATTCCTTAATTCTGTTGTTGTGAAGTTAACCCTTTCTGCTGACAGAGCAAAACTGTTGTGCTCCACAGGTGTTGAAGGCCAAAAGCTCCAATCAGATGCCTGATGTCAGCCACTTAAGTCCACGTGTGGGGCTCAGTGTTTCTGGCACTGTTCTCAGAAAGTCATCTTCATGTCAACAAATAAAAATTTTGCAGCTGTCTGACAACTGTTAAAAAAGAAAATATTATTTTTTTTTTTTTTAAGTGGAGGGGCTTTATTGCGGGAGTTTATCTCAACTTGTTGCGGAACGTGTGGAATCTTAGTGCAGACCTTCTGGTTTTAACACAGGGCAGTACAAACTAGACCAGACAATATTACTTTAAATGTCCTCTGTTGTATAATGTGTGCTTAAAGCTCTAAATGATGTCTACTGTAGTAGCTACCTGCTTCAAGTTCAAAAGAAGGGGGATCTGTTACCCTGCTGGACCTGTTCTCCAGAAGCACAACTCCAAACCCTCATTTCTCTAGCAAAATGCGTTGTGGAAGGAGATGAAGATGCAGTTCCTGCAGTTCTCTGTGATTGCTTTGATGGCATCTACAAGAGATGAAGTCTCTCAATGTTGGGGGTTTTTTTTCCTTAAGAGCTTGTTTTTACAGGTGATGTCTTGCTCATGGCACTGTTGTTTCTTCCAGGGTTGAGATGCAGAAGATGAGAGTGGTGAGGCCGTCTGCTGATGTAGCCAGGTACACAATGATCTTCCACAAACGAGACCAGGGTAATGAGGAGAATAGAGAGAGGTGAGTCAAGAGCAGTGTTCCACCTTGCATTGTCTTCGTATGTGGCTAGGAGCCAGGCACTAGGGGGCCCAAGTTCTTTGCTGTAGGCCAAATGGGCATTTTGAGGTACACAGAGGTGCTGGGGGACACCCCTATGACAGCACCGTTCACAGCTGGCAGCAGTTGTTCTGTTTGTGAGATCTGCCTAGAATCAAGTGGGTGATGTTCCTTAGAACCTTCCAAAGTTAGTTACATGGATATTATTTGAGCATATGATTTCAGAGATTAAACCAAAGGACTTGCTTCCCCATGTCTGATTGTCCATGCTGAGGACAGGAAAAGCACCCCTTTATATTCCCAGTAGGTACAGAATGGCTGTAGCTCTGCCTCTGAGTTTACTAGTAGTGGGAAAGAGCTCAAAACTCTTCCCCTGTGCATGTCAGTGAAGATTTTCTCCTCTTTGTCCTCAGGATGAAGCTTCTACGTCAGGTATCTAGAACGTGGAAAACAGATGGGCTGAACTCTTGTTCATATAAACTGCTCTCGGTGGAACATAACCCTTTATACATCAACATCACAGTGGATTTTGGCACAGAGCCGAAGATCTCCTAAGGGTGAACACCACACAGGTTATAGGAAATGGCAACAGATTGATTTGTGGTCGCTGTTACAACAGATGTCTCCTGCCACTCTGCTTGAAAGAGTTTTTCTTCACAGTGTCTAATTGATTGGTTGAAAATTTCCTTTTGTGAGGATTGGAGCTAGGGACTGACCAGGGGACAGGTCATCCTGTTCTGTGTGCTTCCTGCTGGGACATCGTGCAAAAGTGTCCTTGCTTGGGCTGGTCCGGTGGAAGGACTTGAACCAAGTCTCCTGAAAAAAATTCTGTTCTTGCAAATATTCTTAAACTTCTTATTTGTTGTAGGGGGAAGGCAGCCTAGCACTGCCAACACTGCTATAACTTCAAGAGGAACAGGCCAGTCTTTTCTTATTAAAAGCACAAAAATTCTTCACCAACTACACCCTTGCCAAGAAAAGCCAATTTTTTCCAGCCTGAGGAAAAACTGCTTGTGTGTGAGGGAAGGGCAATAATGGCAATTGGTGAGGAGATGTTAAAAAATCTCTCAATAAATACATTCCATTGAATTTAAAAGGCTTCTCTTGTCCTTCATTAGCTCAGCTTGCCCTGGCATGGGACTGCTGATGTGTCCTGTGGCAAAACGAAAGTCTGAGTTGTGGAAGGAAATGCAGTAGCCAACTATGTCAGATGGAAAGAAATTGCTGTCCATGTTTTCTTAGTGATTTGGGCTACACTGTTAGCAGAATGCATATTTGTATATGTACCCAGGCCATTATTATTTATGATTCTTGTTCTGGAAGATTGGTGAAAGTCTGTGGTTAATTAATTGTTCCAGTGTGCTGCAGGCTTTCTGCAAAAGTCTTGATTAGAGCATCTTGCTTTTCTTGCTGCATTATACCTAACTAACTGCCCTTACACCTGCTTGTTGGATATGCATCCCTTGCAGGGAGATGCAAAGCCAGGGTCTGGGGAGTTTCTTTTAGGACACAATATCTTTAGAAGTACAAGACAAAAAGCAACTTCTGGGGTTGTTCTCTAGCTGGTTGATGCATTATTCTAACTGTAGAGAAGTTAATGAATTCTTAGGTGGTAATGGGATAGATGCAGTTTTTCAGTGAACAGGGAATTTCAGTATCTACAAGCACTAAGAAAAAATACCCTGTTGTCATGCTTGGAAAGTAATTGGACATGGTCAGCAGTGCTACTGCCTGACTTCCTGGAGAAAGGAAGATTACAGAAAGGGGAAGGTCTTGGGCAGACTGTGTCAGTCTCACAGTCAGGTAAGCACAAATGCATTCCTGTTTTTAATGTCATTCCTGCCAGGGTCACAGCTCTACTGTTGACATGTTTCATTGACTTAGTTTTTCCTCTAGTATATCACTTCTCCAAAGTATTTTATGTTTAAGACAGATCAACCTTGAAAGATAATTAATGTTTGAGCAACAGCTGAAATACTAGATTGAGCAGGAGGTTAGAGCAGGTGACAGGCTCGGGTCCCCTTCAGCCTGAATTACTTACAGCTACAGTAAAAACCATTTAAACACTGATGGATCAGGTCAGAAGAAAACAAGGACTTAAGCTCTGGTTTTGTCTGGTATCAGGGCAGCTTTCTCCTTTATTACACTCTTATTACATATTCTAGAAAAATCTTAACCCAAACACTAGCTGAATTTATTTTACTCAAATTCACAAAAGATATTTACAGAACTGTAACTGGCTTCAACACTTTCTCAAAAGGCAGCACTTTGGAGGCCTGCCTGCCTCAATGGCTTGCATCCCAGTTAACGCTTAAGTACAAAGCAGGACAGAGCTATCCACCTACAGAACAATGGTTCCAGAAAACTTGGGTCAGCTTACTGTGAAAGAGACCATGATCCCTAAGGCCTGAGGGCAGGTCTGGCTCAGCAGTTAGTTTTATAGTGCTTTGACAATTTTTAGAGTAAGCCAGAGCCTGTTTATTAGCTATCATACCCTATTCCTGAAGCCTTTTCTTCTAAATCTTAAACAGTCAGAAGAAAAGCAAAAGGCATGAAAAGACAAAAGGATTCACCTCCGGTGTTGCTAACTCCACACCACACAAGGAGGTAGAGGCAGAATGCCCATATGCATGCTGAGCCCAAACTCTGCTTTTGTTTCATTCTCTTAAGAAAATGGGGGAACATATCCAATGTCCACAGTGATGTTGGTATAAAGGGGATGCTTTGTCCGGGAAAGGAGCTTGAACTCTAACGAATTCATTCCATCATCCTTCCATGTTTTTCTGGTGTTGTGTCGGGAAGTAGGCCTGAAGAAGGAAGAATACCTGCAGTTAGAAGAACAAAGGTGATGTTTGCAGCTGAAGCTGCAGAAGAAACAGACCTCCAGAGGGGGCAAGGGCTCAGCAGATGAAAGCTGCTAGCAGAAAAACCCCAAGAACATTTTTCTCACACAACACAGACTAGAGAGAGAAGGCATTTCAAAAGACTAAACAGCTTAAAAGTTCACATTGAGTATTCTAAACAAGGATGATGATTTGGACTGGAACCTAATCAAACAGGGAGACCAGTGAGGTGGCAACTACAGTCTGCAAAAAAACTCAAGAAACTGGCAGCAGCTCAGAGACCTGTGAATGCAGCAGAGGCTCGCAGCAACGGTGTATGCAGGCTGCCATAGGTAGGCTTTAAAACAGGGTTGTTATGGAAACCTGAGTTTTGAGATGATAGAGGGAAGTCTGCACTGTCGCTACAAGAAGCCTCCACCACACTTGACCCAACACCTTCCTCCAGCTCTTTTATGTAGAACTGGGCCTTTGCCAAGGTCTCTCATAGCACCTGCCTCTTGTCTTCAAACTAGAATGATGCTTTCCACTGTTTTAACAGCACACCATAAATCCACACAGCTTGAAGAGCAAGTTTTTATTATAGGTAAGTTGTAACAAAGTGCCTTTTCAAACTGAACTCCCTATTTACAAGGCAGGCAGGTTTTGGTTCTTTCTCCAAGTTTTATTCCCTGAATAATTTGATTCTTAAGTCTGATACGTGTTAGCTTCCTAGCTAGCACATCTCCTTAACAATAGGGAAAAAAGTAGGAAACTAGGAGAAGCCCTTCACATGCAGACAGGAGCAGAATGATTCAGTTGAAACTGACTGGCAGCTGCCTTTAGCCCCATTAAAGCAGAAAAACAAGCAGCAACATTAGGTATACTTAGTTCCTGTTCTGAGGAAGATGATGGTAACAGTCAGCCTGCTACAAGGCAAAGAGTAGCCTCCTAACTGCCCCCACCCCAGAACCGTTACCTTCTCCAAGGCTCCTGTGTCTCTGTCTCTTCATTGTAGTCCATCACTTTGTAGCGTCCAAGGTAAGGTGATGTCCGGACTATTTTCATTCCT